TCCTTTGCCGGAGCCAAAGTACATCACCAGGGGTTCGAAGAGTCCCCTGTTAATGCGGAACACTGCCTTCCACTTGTCACCCTTTCGGATCTGGACGTTGTTGAAGCCCCAATGAATGTCAAGCTTTGTGAAGAATCGGGCGCCTTTCAAACGATTAATGAGGTCGTTGATCAGCGGAAGTGGGTACCAATTCTTCACGGTCATCGCATTCAACACCCGGTAGCACCGTCCTTCTTCTTGATGAAGAAGACTGGAGATGCCATGGGAGACTTCGACGGCCAAATCCGACCAGTGGCAAGGCCCTCCTCAATGAACGTGTCGAGCTTGCGCTGTTCGAGGGGTGAGATAGGGTAGACCTTACAGTTCGTCGGTTTCGAGCCGGGGACGAGTTTGAGGGTGTGGTCCCAAGTCTGGCGCTCTGGTAATGAGTCGAACACTTCCCGACTGAAGACATCCTCAAAGTTACGCACCCACTCAGGAGGGGTTCTTTACCAGGTGTGGAGTGCTTGGCATGGGCTTCCGCTAGGCGTTGAGAACCATAGCGGAGGCTCGGATGTGTTCTGGAGGAGAGAACATGGTGTAGAAAATACGATCTCCTCTCCTCAATTGGGTCATCCCCGTCATCAGAGTCGTCGGAGTCATCCGGGGATAACTCAGGCAACTCGTCCTCGAACTTGTTGTCATTGTCCTTGCCAGAGCGAAGGTCCATGTCCACCGCACAAATGTGGGGTATCGGACCCGCACGGAGCTGGCGAAGGATCGAAGCGGAAGTTTTGGCATGCTGGCACTTGATCCTTGCCTCGTCATGGCAAGTCATAGGCAGCGGCTCATCTTGACCTCTCGAGTCTCCCAGTCAATGTTGTGCTTCCGGAGCCAAGAATACCCAAGGATGAGCTTCCGCTTGCCAAGACGGATGACAGCAAGCACATCACGCTCGCTGTGCGACTTGTACCAGAGGATGACGTCTGCCACTTCCCAAATGCTGCCAGCCTCGTTCGGAGTGCCATCAACATTAAAGACAGGGATGGGGCGAGAGAGGCAGCACAGCGGGACTTTGTTCTCCGCTGCATACTCCGAGTCGATGAACTCGGACATTGCACCACAGTCCACGAGTCTGGACAGCGAGAGCTTGACTGCGTTGTGCGTAAACTCAATCTCTAGCGGGAGGTGGAGGGAATTAGTGCTAGCCTCGGCAGCAATTGTGAAGTGCTTGGGAAGCTTGCGTGTCAGACACACCAGCCAATGCAATGCAGAGGGGATGCAAAGAGGCCAAGTCTGTGCTCAGAATGAAGTGGGCCTATATTGCTAGTGGAGATACATACAACTAGCTCAAGACTGGAGAGTGCTACAAGTACAGGGACATATATATATACTACTACTATGCAATGCCGAAGCCTCGAGGTGCTCAGTAAGGCCTCAGTCAGCAACATGTGTTGCTCAGTCAGAAACATGAGTTTCTGAGTAAGAAACATGAGGCTATCACTAATACAAATCCGATATAGCTAGATAAGTTCCGATATAACTAGATAAGCTTCTAAGTAAAGCTAGAACCGGATCAGAGCGGATCAGAGCAGATCTGATAATGCTGATGATTCATGACACAGGTGAGTAAGCTGTTCTCAGTTTGCACGTGTATACTCATTTCTGTGCAAACAGTCAGCCGTTGGTGCGTCCTTCCCAATTCGGATGCCATCGTGATCGCTCTCACGCAATCCCTGTTTGGCATTGCCCCTGGGCCAATATTCTCGTCTAAAGCCTAGCTTCGGTACCTTGGACCCACTGGTCCTTCAACACATTCGTCCTGTTATCCCGCGATGGACCTGCCTTTGGTGCCTTAGACGCCCGCTGGTCCCTTTTCAGGAGCTCAGTGGTGTGCCTAAACCACCATTGGCATGTTCCCCAATGCCCACTAGGATGCTTCCCTTAGTATTGCCCATGAATACTGCTCAAGTCTTCTCTGGTCTCATAGTTTAGGCTTTGTTATATTCCCTTTGGTATATGTAGTTAGACCGTCATACGACCAACTAGTTTATAGTTGATACTTCAGGGCTCAGCTCAACTCTCCTTGTACCACCAAGCAGGTACCAATCGCCCATACAGATACTGATTAAAGACCATTGGTGCAACCTTCTCCGGCTTTATTCCTGTTTCCAAGACTAAAACTGCAAAAATTGCAAGATTTATACCCTATGTGTATTTGGGTCGTCTCATTGCATTCCCGCACTCACCTCAAGTGGTGCCGGGGCCCCTAAGCACAACCGTAGGACCCTGAAGAATACATTTTGCAACCTAGACAAGTCAAAATGAGTTTGGTGTCATGCAATGGTGTAGGACACGTCGAGGAATGTCGCACAGATACTTATTAGTTGGATGAACTACCGAGGTGAGCGGCTGGCGAGCTACTAGACAGACGTAGCGTCTGAATGGTGTGTTGAAGAGAGCGTACACGAGCGCACAGGGCGCCTGGGGATCTCCCTAGGGTCCTGAGTCTCTGCCTCGAAGGGATCTCCGTTTGAGGTGTAGAAGGCCCGAGTTCCATGATATGGTGAGTACCAGGAACTAGCAAGGCTTACCTTCACTGCAGGGCCTCCAAGCTAACCAGTCTTTAAGAGGACTGGGAAGTGCCGGTGGCTTTCGTCATGAGAGGGTAAGGATAAGATGATGATTCCAATGGGGATATCCCCGAGTCTTTGTAATACATAGTCGTATGTCGTAACTTTATGAGTCGTTGTGAGAGCTTCGTAAAAACCAACAAGAGAAAATATATACTATACCTCCTGGTTGAACAGGAGGGAGAGATGTACTCGAAGGCCGTTACAAATGGTAACAAACAACACATACCTGAACCATGAGATGGCCTTTGAAGATCCATAATATTACTTTCCTTTGTCACCAGATCTTTGACATACACCCAATTGTTGGGGTAGAAAAATTGGTGGAAGGTCTTGCCTGTGAGTGGCAGGGTGCCTGTTATATCCGAGCGGGGGATATAAGGCCAATCGACCAGAGGTTCCAGGTCCGCGACAGCACCAGAGCGGAGGCGGAGCGGAGCGGACTGAGCGAAAAGATGAGAGTACGCGACAGAGGTGCTGCACGAGCCTTGTCTGCCTGGCTCCATGGGGGCAGATGGAAGCAGTCGTCCATGGTCCATAGCCCGAAAGCAACGGAGATGGAGACGGAGCAACCAGCAGACTGCTCGATGTCCGCAGCCCGAAGGCAACGGGGTCAGAGCGAAGGAGTCCGAACACCAATGTATAGTCACAGAGGGTGACCAACGATTGGTCCACTCAACGTCCGCAGTCCGAGGACAGCGGAGTCGGAGCGGAGCGGAGGGAGCAAACCAGTGCAACAACACCACGGGGGTAATGGGAAGTGCACCACCCTTCGTCCCAGAGGACAAAGGTAGGTTCGGAGGAAGCTCGGAGGACCAGAGCAACACTTGCCAAAGGCAACCAAGGCAAGTGGGCTATTTATAGTCCGGATGAACGGGAAAGAGTCGGAACTCGGATTGCTTCCACGGTGGACAAAGGCTTGTCCTTTGCAATTCCGGGGCCGTGTGTCCTTTGACCCGGCTCGTGTGTATCCTTGTACTTGTCCTTTCACTAAACCCGGCCGCTTGGGCCTTTCAGGTTCCTCCGCGGCCTCGTGGCGGCCATCATCGCTCGGAGCTTTCCGGCAGAAAATGATCTGAGTACTGATTTGCAGCTGCAGGGCTTAGTTGGTGCTAGAATATTCTTGGGAATGGCCTAATATTCACATAGATCACTGTACTACAGGTTTAAGCAGAAAAATTGTGCAATACCAAGTGAAAACTGGGCGAGAATATGGCCTAAGTACCTAGAAATTGATCTTCCACCGTACTCAACCAGCCAATTTTGGTAGAACTTGGTGGGGCTGTTGTGTCCCACTGCATAGTGACTGGGAAATTTTTGGAGGCCAAGAGACGGTGATGCAACGGCCAGTATGGAGTTCCATCACGAGGGGTGTGACAGTTGAAAACGTGCCGGGTGCTGCCGGGGCGTTCACAACTTTCACACCAACATCCAACGCGGCGCCGACACCCATCTGTAGTCCACAAAAAATTGCAGAGTCTCAAAACAGTGCCCAATATCACCCATACTTGGTGGTGTGCAATTTGGGTTGGTTGAATGCAACAGGATAGAGAGTTGTTCGACTCAGAGCACATTTTTGGTATGTTCTTCGATATTATTCCTCCATTTTTTTCACGCCACCTTCAGACCTATACCTATCTCCGTCATGCCAGCCTCATCCAAGAGAGTTCGACTGAGACCTCAGCCTTGAGCAAAAAATCATCAATGGGATCATTTCAACCTCGGAAACTCCCGAGGACGCGCGGCTGCAGCGTGGCCGCGGAAGAATCCGAAACGCCAAAGCGGCCGGAGTTAGCACAAGGACAAGGGAAAGGACAAGGCAAAGCCGTACTCATGGACACGCTGCCCCAAAGCTGAAAAGGACAAGCTATTGTCCACCGTGGCTTCACAGGTAGAGTGAAAGCAATGTTTATTATCAAACTGAAGAATATAAGTTATGCTAAGAGGTTTATATAGGATAAGTCTTATCTAATTATGTAATAAAAGATAAATAGTAACCATGTGGATTTAACAATAGACTTAGCCCTGGCCATGCAGAAAGAATCAGGGTTATCCCGACACGTGGACTTAATATGCGACTTGTCCGATGGTTGTCAAGGATAAGTCAACCAACCATATGGAAAGGTCAGGGCCAGCCCTCTTACAGCTACTACCTCCATACTTATGAGAATATGCTCTGGTCAGTGCACTTGATTCTACTTCATCCACACACTAATCCATGCACCAGGTCATTTATGCCAAGCGGATGCATGTTACAATGCTTCCTGCACGCATCCCGCTTAGCACCTCAGTGAGCCACCGAGGCAAATGGGAAGGCAAGATCAGTAAAGGGACACATCTAACGGCCACGGACAAGAATCTTGCGAAGGCCGGCAACTGCCAAAAACATGATTGGAGTGGGATTCGAACCCACGCCCCGGAGGACTAGATATGAGACAATGACCTGATTCTAGCGCCTTAGACCACTCGGCCATCCAACCACAAAAATATACAAAAGTGCAGCTCAATAGGCAAGTAGCAGGGTACAGGTGCATTATTATTAGTCATATGAGCATGACACTCCAACTAATGGCATGGACCAGGCTTCTATTGTTGTGAGGCACCAGACATTGTTCAAAGAGTTGCAGAAGGAGGATATTCAGGGAAAGACGAGCAGGCTATGAACAATGACAAGAAGGAAGACAACTGGAAGGCACAGCTGCTGGCCAGACTGCCGGGTGACACATCAAATGATGTTGATGAGTTTGGTCAGGCTGTCAAATTTACTGTGTTATTCAACTTAGAGACCTGTTATATCCATGCACAACCAACCTCCAGAATGCACCTCGACAACTCAAGACCATGACCGGTAGCACCGGTCAGTGACCGGTACTGGTGGCCTGGTGATACCTTGTGGACATCGTATGGCGCCATAGTTGCACCATAGCACCAGCTGGCCCTCAGCCATGCGGTGCTAGGTCTTCTTTCTTATTGTTCAAGTCTCTCTACTATTGTGTTTGAACTTCAAACCCCATATGGGTTCTTGTCTCTATTGTTACATCCACATGGACACTTTATCTTTCCCCTTATATTATACAATAAGTATATAATCTCGTAGTCTACTCCCTTGTTCTTCAGTTTGTTAATAAATGTTGCTTCACCTTCCCTGTGCAGCAATCCAAGTCACTGGTCTTCACCGGTTGTCTTGTCCCCCCACCCGGTCCTTGTCCTCTCCTGGGATCAACGGATAGTGTCGCTTGTCCTGCCCCTCTGTGGTGTTGCAATATCTAGTCCACCAGTCACCTCCAGTCTCATCCCCCTCTGGTCGATAATACATTACGGGAGCTCTGTCCAACTGGTCGGCTAGACTCCTATATCCCTGCTTGGATATAACAAGACGAGAGAAGGCCAATGAGTGCTCCGATGGCTTTGGTACTTCCACAGGTGCTGAGGAAGTTGACAAAGATGGGAAATTGCATGCAGGGCTTGCTCGTTCGCTGTGACCCTCCGGCGACCAGGAGAGCGTAGAGACGCGACACGCATATATTTGAGTCGAGACGACAAGAGTAGAGAATAAAAGATAGATGATTATGTACTCTACCAATACAGGAACAAATAGGCACTAGGCCGTGTAATAATAATAAGTAGGCGTCACACAGAGATTTGATTTGATGTCCATAGGTGTGCTCTTCTTCCGCTAAATACTCGCCATTTGACGCGAACTCAAGTACACAGGGCAGCGTCTCGGACCTTTATTGTTGGTAGAAGTAACCCTTGCGCGCTGCGACTTGAAACGCCGCCGCGTGCGGCAAATTATGTTGGGAGCTTGGATTTTCTCCGTGCAGCCTAGGTACGCTATCTCTCTTTCAAGCTGTACACCCGTAGCAGTAGACCCAATGCATAATACACCGTGAACTTTCCAACGTGCCATTGCAAAATACGAGGAAAGTTCTCAGGCGTGGGAACACCTATTGTCAGGGGGTTGCACGGCTCCACGGCATCCCTCGCATAGTCAGGTGCCGTCCTGTATCCTCGGCATGGTTCCTTAGCCATCACAGGTGATCACAAATCAATATTACAGCCCTACGCATCAAAAGCGGCCAACAAATATTGCAATTAAAACCCCGCTCCCCCCTACTAATCGTCCTCCGTGTCGTCCTCCGGCTCGCCAATGGAGCCCTCCTCATCCTCCCCCTCTATGCCCCCCTCTCCCTCGCTCTCCGCCGCGATCCAATTCTCGTCCTCCTTGTCGCCTTCGGCTTCATCGGCCTGCTCCTCGGGTTCAGCCGATACGCCCTCCACCACTTCCAGCTCCCTCAAGCCCGCCCACATCGTCTCGAACCTCTCTGCAATCCTTTCCATCAGCGCCGCCTGACGCGCCGCGTACGCGCGCGCGCCTTCCGCATGCAGCCCGGCAAACTCCGCCACCTCCCGCCGATCCCGCCACCACTGCGCCTTCCAGCGCAGCGCGACGGGGACGCGCCGCATTTCCTCCTTGAGGAGTGCCACCTCTTCCGTCCACCGTCGCGTCCGCGCCCACGCCTTCGCCCATTCAGCGCGCAACCCTGGAATATATTTCAGCATCCGTTCCCTTTTTGGGTTAAAAAATGGGCGTACCGGTTAGAATTGCCTCGCTCGTGCCCGGCGTCGACAAGTCGACACCCATCCATATCCACGACACCGTCCGTCGGCCTTCGCTTGCGTGCCCCTTGCCGCGCTGCCCCTCCTGGACCCCCTCCCTACGCTCCTCCTCCGTTGCAGCTTCCCCCACTCCCCGTTTCCTCCCCCGCACCTTCCGCTTGCTCCGTTGAGCAGCATCATCCTCCGATTCCATGCAGCGCAGGTCTTTCTTGGGGTTCAGTCGCCGCCAACCGACGTCCTCCTCGCGCCCCCCGACTAGCCACCGTTTCGCCTCCCACGCCGCGACATATTTCTCCCCGTAGATTCGCAGCTTCTGATCATTTCGGTCCATCAGCCCCCGTGCTCGAGTGGTGGAGCCTTGATGTCGCACGTTACCCCCTTTGTAAGTACGAAACCGGGATTTAACGTGCAAAAGGTTACGAATTTCGTCGAGAGAGCTACGGCATTGGGCGTCGCGCAGGCGCGTTTCAATTGCCACGACCCCCCGATTACAACCCGACGCCCGCTGTTCCTCCGTCAGAGCCGACAGCAGGTACAGCGGCACGTTTTCGACGTGTGCTGCTGCTTCCTGCGCCTTGGCGGTGGCAGGCGCTGGCGCTGGGCGGTCGGCCAATGCCTGAAGTGCGGCCGGCGTGTACGCAATCTGGAGGGCTCGGAAGCGCGCGATATAGCGGCTCAGCTTCGTGCGCTTCTCCAGGAGCTCGGCGCTTTGTTTCGTCGATTGATCCCTGCGCGTTTCGACCTCAATGCGGATTTGGCGTCTACTTGATCGTCAGTCTTCATCAACGCTTCATGTCTAGCGGGACACGTACTGTTGCTCTTCCAGATCCAGCCCCGCGAGGATAAATGCGCTTGGGCTGACGTTGTGGATGGCAGCCACGCCCGCCGCATGCGCCGCGGCCTCCTCCTGCGCGCATTCCAAACGTACGTCGTGCTCTGAAGCTCCTGCTCGCAGTGTTAACACAAGATATTGGGACCACGTAAGCGGCGGACTTACCCGTTTTGGGAATCTCGTACGGATTCGGTTTCGAGGAATCTCCCTCGAAAGCCTCCACCGCTGCCTTCCACGAAGGTACGTTCTCCATCTGGTTGCTGGTGAATGTCGCAAGCGATTCCGCCTGATAGTTGCGCTCCGGAATTGCAGTTAGTAGGCGCTTCTTGAGGAGGATGCCGAGTCCCACAAGTTTCTGCCAATTCCAATGGCTCCAGTGGTCGTTGAGCGTGTCGTGTCGCGATCCCGGCCCCATCTCCCTCGTGCTCGTTGCCACCGGCCCAATGTTGGCCTAAGGACGCTCGATGCCCTCGCCATCCGTCCGCGCCGAGCCGGGGGTGTAATTCAATGAAAAGTAAAGCTGGCACTTGATCTTGTGGCCATAGATGTGCAGTTTCGGGATGAGGAATCGCACGAGCGCGATGATGAGAGTAAGGCGAACCCTAGCCGGCAGCTTCTTCAGACGACCCATCAGGTGTTTGCTCCATTGGCAGCAGATGTCGTATGAAATGAATTTGAAAAGGTTGGCGCTGTGGTGGCGCATTAAAGACGCGAAAATGTAGTCCATATTCGCGTAGCTAAACAGCACGTTAGTCTCAGTTTATTTCGTTTGAAACAACACATACCGCTCTCCCTTTTGCAAATCCGCCGCGCTGGACTTCTGGACAAACTCGTGTCTCGCGCAGACCCCGAGCCCTACGCCCGTCGCACCATAACCCCGCGAAAACTTCGTGTTGGCGTAGTCTAACGCGGCGAGTCCGCTGCATGTACTCATCTGACATTCTGTTAGAAGCACGATCATCCCAGAGCGCATTGAAGACAAACACACCTCTTTCTGATCCGTCACCCCCAGCAAGTACTCACGATACGGAGCGTCCTCGGTAAAGAAAGACCAGCCAGGACCGAGACTGGGGTCCTTCGCCTCACTCGATACCAATCGGCGCTTGAGGCGGAAGCACGCGTCGATGGCAATGTAAAGGATGTAGAGGTATCTTTTCACTTGTCAGTTCGTAATTCCTCCGCCGAAATCCAAGACGCACCTGTCAGTTTTACTCGCGCTCTCCCAGTTGAACGGGAGATTAACACCTGGCCGCGGACAGCCAGGGCAATCGGGCCCCAGCTCCCCTGGCTTTGTCTCGGCGACCTTGCGTTTGCCATCGTTCCCGATCCCCCCCCGTTTGACCATGATTAGATGTCTCCACTCGCGCATTATACGCATAAAAGACTTATATTTGTCCTGAACGATTCGTCAACGCTGCACGGCACAGATAGTCGAAGTGAGGCGCACCTTTAGCTTCACGAGCCCACTGTTATCCGTCACCTTCTCCAGGCCCGAATAGAAATCGTATGTTGTCACCTTGCCTTGCAAGGTCAAGATGTGGAATAGCTCGACCAGCCGGAAGGTTGCGCAGGTCCGCGGCTCGAGATCTGTTGCCGGGTACCAGGAGCGTCGCAAAACTTGCTCTCGAGGCGTTCCCGCAAGATGCGCCTGGTCGCAGCCGCAGAAATCCACGTTGACGCTGTGAATCCCGTTGCTATGTAGCACGGTGAAGTCGGTATGGCCTGGTTGAGGGTTGCCGCATGTTTCAAATGAGCCGTGACCGAATTGAATACGTAGACCGAGCGATTTGAGGCTCACTGCGTCGAAGAATTCGCCGTTCCACATCTGTCGACAGTTAGTAGGCAGCTCCAGGTTATTCAGATGACGATTACCTCGATGCGATCCAAAGGATGGTCCCTGTGCTGTGCGACACAACACTGACTGCATAACAGGTCCGGATGGAAGCAATCAATGCAACGGTATTCAGGGTTTGCCACCCGTGTCTTCTCTGGGCAGGCCGGACACCAGTCGCGCGCGACGAACCCCTT